TATGTGTTCAGAAATGGTTCTGGGATAATATAGTTGTCTAGTGAATTACATAAAATATTCCATTTTCCTTTCTCCTGGTTCTCCTAGAAAGTTGTGTGTCAACATGATGTATCTGTCTCCCAAGAACTAAATAGATTCAGAATCTAGTGGAGTCAGATGCTTGATAGAATGTCCTAGCATTACATTATGGTTAATGCATTGCAAAACTGTTACCCTGAATGAGTAATAATATGACAGTAAATCTTAATACAACATAAAATTGTCAGAATTGTTTTGTGATTGACAGTACAATATTGACCCATGTTATCTATGACGGCTGAGGAATACACAGCACAACTTAGTGAGAAGCCAGTGCTCGGTATAATTTAGGGCAGTCTAATGGCTAAATTATGCCGATTGCCTGTGGCTCAGGGGATGATATGGCTGCTTAGCAGCAGAAGGAGCAAATAGGAATCTTGCCCATATTCCAACCCCAGTAGCAGAGCAGAATTGTTACACCAGCTCTTCTGCTGGACTGCACTATGTGGGGATCTGTTGACAAACTTTGGCTTTAGAGCAGGGGCAATCCATTTATTTTTTGTTAAGGTCCAAATTTCTTGATCAAAGTCCAGACTCCAGAGAAAATAATATGATGACAATAAATTCACGGTTCATTTAAAAGTCTCTGGAGATCTAGGTTTGTCTCAGTCCACCTATTGACTACCTCTACTTTTGGATGTGATGTGGCTGCTCACCCCAGACAGCCTCATTACCACCCACAATCTGTTGCTGTCATGTCCTGTGTATCTACCATCCTGCTGCTTAGAAGGATCAGAAGAGGTCAAAGTGGCTTTGTTGCAAATACTGTTTTGCATATAGCTTTGAGTGAAACTCATGGAGGTGAGGAGGTGTCCAATATATCAAATCCATGAACACCACAAAAGCTTGTATATGAGTATCTTCAAGCTAATTGCTATTTCTGATACAGTATCTATTACATATTTGAGAGCGTTTGTGCATTTTTGTGTATCCATCTCTTGTCAGTCTGTTCAAGATCTCCTCCTAAACAGTGAGAGCTAGGACTACCAAATTTGGTATGCCACTTCCTCTTATAACTTTAAAAGAAGGTGATGAGGGTTTAGTTGTGCCAGCTAAATGGGAAGTGCCTGGAATGTGGTTGTTCAGGGTTTCCCAGCCTATGGGTTGCTCCCCAAATATGGGTCACCATTACATTTCAAAAGGGTTGCCAAGTGTCTCCTCTCCTCAGGTGGCTCTGCTTCCCTCTTCCCCCCAGTTTTTGAATTACCTTGGATCACCAAGTCTTCCTGAATTATCAAAATGTGTCCCCATCTGGATAAGGTTGGGAACTGCTGCAGTTGTTTCTCAACTAACAGAAAAGGAGAGCTGTGATAGCAGGGACAGTTATACTCCCGAGGGACCACAGTGGGGCAGCGAGTACCCAATCTCTAGAAAGCAGCTGCTGGCTGGGCAGCGTGACCTCCGCTACCCCAGCCTGGCCCCAGGGAGCAGTCACTGGCTACTCGCACCTCTGAGCCCCCCCCCACACTTCCCAGTCCTGTGGTCTGACTCTTCCAGCTCTTCACCCTCCCTCTCCAACTCCTGCATACTCCCAGCCCCTTGCCATGAAGGACCCAACCAATGCCTGGTAAATCTTTTTACTAATAAATATTGCAGCAGAGAACATTTTCCAGTCCCGAAAGTTGTAATTTAAAAACTACAGAGAGGCAGTATAATGTAAATAACACCATCCTGATCAGCTGAAACTATACTTAGTTTACTTGTTACCTAAATATTATGAAAAGTTAAAGAAACATGGCATTGCTGTCTAACATTTTATAAAGAGAAAATATAGGCCATTTAACTTCCCTATTTCAACATAAAAACAGTTCTTAAACTGAAACTCTGGTCTGGCAACATCTGTAGTCTGGCAGGACCATGGATATTCCAGGACCAGAGAGCCCCGATGAAGGGCTGGCAGCTGGGAGCCCTGTAGACCAGCAGAGTACTGAGCTACCCAGTGGCTAGGCCAGAGCTGTGGAAGGCTGGTGGCAGGGAGGCCAGAAATGACCTTTCCTGGTCCAGTAAAATTCCTCATCTCGAACAGGTCATATCCTGAGGGTGCTAGACCAGGGAGGTCCAACATGTAGTAATTTATAGCACATATCCTAATCACATATGCAGGTATAGATGGTTGTGCACTCACACATAGGCAGCAGCTCCATTAATCATTTCAGTCATTTTTCACAAATGTTGAATAAAAAAATTGGAAACTTTCCAAGTATAAACTTTCTCTAAAGATAGAGAGATGAGTGTTTATCTTTTTCCTTCAATGGAAATAACATTTCTAGCTTCCAAAAGCTAGATAAATTCATGGAGACTTGGTCCATCAATGGCTGTTAGCCAGAAAAGGCAGGAAGGTGCCCCTAACATCTGTGGCTACATCTACACTGGGTCCTTTTTCGGAAGGGGCATGCTAATTTTCAAAGTGGGAATAGGGAAATCCGTGGGGGATTTAAATATCCCCCGCGGATTTAAATAAACAAGTCCACCGCTTTTTTTCCGGCTTGGGGAAAAGCCGGAAAAAAAGCGTCTAGACTGGCCCGGTCCTCTGGAATAAAGCCCTATTCCGGAGGATCTCTTATTCCTACTTAGAAGGACCGGGCCAGTCTAGACGCTTTTTTTCCGGCTTTTCCCCAAGCCGGAAAAAAAGCGGTGGACTTGTTTATTTAAATCCGCGGGGGATATTTAAATCCCCCACGGATTTCCCTATTCCCACTTTGAAAATTAGCATGCCCCTTCCGAAAAAGGACCCAGTGTAGATGTAGCCACAGATGTTAGGGGCACCTTCCTGCCTTTTCTGGCTAACAGCCATTGATGGACCAAGTCTCCATGAATTTATCTAGCTTTTTTTTTTTTTGAACCCTGTTTTAGTCTTAGACTTTACATCATACTCTGGCAAAGAGTTCCACAAGTTGATTGTGCATTGTGTGAAGAAATTCTTCATTTTCTTTTAAACTTGCTAATAATTTAATTTGTTGACCCTTAGTTCTTGTGTTGTGAGAATAAGTACATAATTTTTCTTTATTTAGTGTCTCCACACCAATCATTTTATATACCTCAATCATTATCCTTCCTTATCTTCTCTTTTTTTTAAACTGAAAAGTCCCGGTTTTATTAATCTCTCTTTATAGGGCAACGGATCCATACCCCTAATCACTTTGTTGCCTTTTTCTGAACTTTTTCCAATGCCAAGATATGTTGAGATGAGGCGACCACATCTGCACACAGTATTCAAGATGTGAGCATACCATGGATTTATATAGAGACAGTAAATTTATTTTCTGACATAGTCTCTATCTCGTTAATAGAAGATTCTACTACGAAACAGAATTTTATTTCATACTGTTTACCTCCCTTTAATAGTCAATCTTTATTTTATAGCTGCTGTGCCTTATCGGAGAGTCCTTTGATGACTACAGTGATGATGTATGTGGCGCTGTTGTTAATGTTAGAGCTAAAGGTGATAAAATAGCAATATGGACAACTGAATGTGAAAACAAGGATGCTGTTACGCATATAGGGTAAGTGATAGGACACAGTCATGTGTATCAAGTCTAATACCAAACATCTTTTAAATTCAGATATTTCAGTAGGAGATGTCATGTTAAAGCTGATCATTTTGAGATCAATGGGTACAATCTGGAACATAGATTTTTTTGGGGGGGGGGAGGGAAGGAGATCTTCTGTGAAATGGCCTACTGATAAATGATCTGAACAAGTTAATAAAACTCAGTACAAAAAAAGTTGTGAATACATTGTCGCCTGCCCGTAAAGCAGGGCTAGGCAATATTTTTTTGTTGGAGGGTTCACTCCCAAGAATTTGGGAAGTGGACAAGGACTATACTCTTCCATGATACTAATGGGAGAGCTGCAGGGTCTGGGGTGGAGGTTGGATGCCGAAGGGAGCTCGGGGTAGCGGATTGGGATGCAGGAGAGGGTATGGGATTTAGGAATGAGTTTGGGTAAAGGAAGGGGTGTTGTGGCCTGAGGCATAGGACTAGGGTGCAGGGATGGGAGGAAACTTGGGTGCAGGAATGGGGTTGCAGCAGCTTCAGCTCAAACCTGGGGGAGGGGTGCCGGGGGGGGAGGTTGGATGCCGAAGGGAGCTCGGGGTAGCGGATTGGGATGCAGGAGAGGGTATGGGATTTAGGAATGAGTTTGGGTAAAGGAAGGGGTGTTGTGGCCTGAGGCATAGGACTAGGGTGCAGGGATGGGAGGAAACTTGGGTGCAGGAATGGGGTTGCAGCAGCTTCAGCTCAAACCTGGGGGAGGGGTGCCGGGGGGGGGGGGGG